GTATTATATAATAATGAATGTTATAAAAATGAGACCGCTCGGGGAACTTCCGATTTATGTAAATTGTAAAATAACAAAAGCAAACATTACTGCTAAAGAACTGTTACGTATCCTCTGATATTCCTCTAACAGATTTCGACTACGACCACATCATGTTGGTGGTAACGCGCCTTCTAACTACCCATATCCTGTTAATAATGAGATTTGAGGTAAGCGCGAATGATTAAAACCTAAAAAGCAACAATATTGGTACAAATGTAGGCAACGGCCGGGAACCCTATAATCGAGACGCAGCATGGCAGGCACTTTCGATACAAAGCCAGTCTAGTAATTTGCTTTACCGGTTCACATCACTCACCATTCGAAAAGCAGTAGTAAGCAGTATTAAGTTACCGCTTTAAGCTGATAATCTGTAAGAACTTGGTCACATCCTTGTCGAGCTAATTTATATGCCATTATCTAGTTAGAGCGTGGTAGAAGTACACCGTATTAATAAATACATTCAGTTCTTACAGTCTAACTAAAGTCCACTGTTCAGCAGTGGACTTTGGCATAGGCCTCCCCCATAGATGCCTCATTGGCGAATTTAGCTATATTTGAAATGCTTGATTTTTTAGTTGTTATCAGGAAGGTGCTGGATCCTTATATTTCAAAATTTCTATTTATGCTTCATTACGAAAAAGAAAAGGACGACGCACCGATACTCGATATATTTATACGAGCTCTTTCGCTAAATTTAGATACTTTTGTGCCCCCTCCCCTTAACTCAAAAACTATTATAGAGTTGTACAATTTTAATTTTGCATGTTTATGGCCCTCTTGAGTACTTACGTTTTACGTGGTAGAGCAACGATGCAGCTATATTATGACTGCACCACGAATGAATACCAGCGTAAAATAGCAGCTTAACACGGCTGTGTCTCGTATGGTGAGTGTAGAGAACCGGAGACCCATTTTACTGGAAAAGCGGCATTCCATCTTAGTCCTCACGGGTGACAATGCATATGCTTTTTGATTCCCAAACGAGGATAGATGTAGATGTCTATGGGCCACAGCAACCACTTATCATCAGGTGGACTGTGTGCTCGTTTGTCACCCTATTCTATAAAAAATAAATAAAAATAAAAGTAAAATAGCGGCTTAATGCTGCAATATTTCGTACGGAATAGAAAAATTCAAGAAAAGAGCCTACACATTTTTAAAAGGTCGGCAACGCATCTGCGATTCATCTGGTGTTGTAGTTGTTCATGGGCGGCGGTAGTTACTTACCATCAGGTGAGCCGCATGCTCGTTTGCCCCTCTCCTATAAAAAAAAACGGTGAGTGTAGAGAACCGGAGACCTTTTTTACTGGTAAAGAGGCATGCTATCCTCAGTGGTGGCAGCGGATATACACCTCGATTATTCATCGATAATAGATGAGTGTCTAATAAGTTCTCTAAAGGTATACCTTCTCTATTGAACACCACAAAACGTAACAATTCAACTCGTCTCTTTTTTTTAAGTTATTCAGCAATATGATGCAAGCTTTAACGCAGGCCCCACACTGTGCGTCACTTAGTTTCTGAGTTATCCATTTGTGAAGCTTCTTTATTTACTACCTAACCGATCTGCCTACATCAAAAGCTGACGCTAACTCAGCCGTAGTTTAGACGGATCCACAACCACATCCACTATCGCCTTTAGTTTGTAAACAACCTTCTTTTCCAAGCGAACATGAGGTTCATTTTTGAGTTAGAAATTTCCCAAACAAGAACGATTGAGCCAATAACGCACAGTTCATTCATGTGTCAGACGCAATAATCCCACTTCGAGGTTATATAAAAAATAACAGGAATTTTTTTAAGGGATTCCATAGTTATAAATATTGCAATATTGCAGAAAACAAAACCCAAAGAAACAAATAAATAACTGAGTTTGAAAAAGGAATTAGGAATCCCAAGTCAAGCCATAGCTATTACATAGAGATAGATAGCTATTACAGTTTAAAGTCCAGATCAACAAAACGGCAATTTCATACATAATTAGACCTAATATTTCACAAAAATTAATTATGTAGCATAACTACATATTATATTCATTACGAAAACTAAATGGGTAAACTAATTTGAATGCAAATCCCTCAGGATTAGCTAATAAAGATACGTGACTGTTTAATTAAGGCCGTGCGAAAACAAGGCGACAAAGTTACCTACTTTTTAGTTGCAAAGTATTACTTGTTTTTAGTAGACTTCAAAAAAGGAGGTTTACAATTCGACTGTTTTTATTAAAGTGAAAACTTCTTTAGAATCATGTTTTGAAACCAGATAAAACAAAAAAACGACAATAAAACGAGACAAACATAATATATTTGTCTTATACATGTATAGGACTAAGCCTACGGGAGAATGAGATAGAATATTATATTAAATTAGTCGTGTTTATGCCACCTAGCGTCTATTTTACGTACCTATCACCTTGCGAGTCAATCAATTTTTGTTCTATAAAATGACTTTACCTATAAAATGCGAGTAGATGGCGCTATTGTAAAGCAATTTTACTTGAACGAAAATATTCTTTTGATTTATTACATTACATTTAGGCTCTACATATCTAAAAATAAGGATTGTAATATTTAATTGTTATAAAATTAAACTTTTATCTTATATTTTATGCCGCACTTGTGGTTGAAAATTATTTTTATTATATTAAATAAATCTATTAAAATTCACCCCTCCGCTGCTTTGGCCTATTCGTTGCCTTCGGCGACCAGCCCCTCCGCTACGGCTCGCACAGGCGCCTACTATGTGCTACAGCGTAGCGGGCGGGGGTTGCTTTACAAAAACACTCCCCAGTGTTTTTGTAGTCTTGTCTGCCCTACCCCTGTAGGGCAGACAAGACTACGTAGAGTCGGGACGTGCTGATTCGGTTTTAGTATTCGATTTTTGAGTATCGATATCTCCGAAACTCAGAGAGATATCGAAATTTTTATTTTTACTTTTCGGCGTATCTCCTAGAGATCCATGCGAATCCGCCTAGAAACCGTGGAAGCCCCTTTAAACGTCATTGCCATTGTAATATAGCTTTCACTCTAAAAGGGTAAAAAATTTATCTTTTTTTAAAAAGTTAAAGCTGGGTGAAATTATTCTATTCTTTTTAGTTCTTTGAAATCGGCTTTTTTTTTAAAGTTATATTATTGTATGTATGTTATGTTATCTTTGTAAGTTGTGAACCGATTTTAATGATTATTTCCATTAAAATGGAAATGCTTCAGGACAGGAGTGGCCCCATATATTATACCCATTATTATGGTCTAATCAAAAGGGTAAAAAATAATCTTTTAATAAATAGTAAAAGCAGAATAAAAAAAAAAAAACAGAAACAGAAAAGAAATTCAATTCCTGAAGTTGGCGCCAAGACATTATATATTAGAATTAAAGCTTCGTTATTTTTTGTTATTTGAAGTCTCCTTTTATTTTTTGCTGTCGAAATTAGCAAAATACTAAACAAATATTTTTCTATAACAATCTGTACTAATTAAGCCGAATGTTAAACTACAACAGAGTTCAATTAGAGTCAGGTTGCAGCATAGACGACCCATTCGACCCATACGCTGCAACGTATGGGTCGAATGGGTCGACTCGACGGGGGAAAGATCACGCCTGAAAAGTATACCAGCGTGAAATAGCAGCATATACATTGTTTACTATTTCTGAAGGGTATAGAGAGGTTCCATTTTGGTTCTTAGAAGTGACAATGCATCTGTAGCCCTCTTTGTTTGCAGGTGTCTGTGTGTAATGGACTCTTGTTCGTTTGTCACGTTTTATAAAACGAAAAATATTGCTACGTTTGGTATGGTAAGTAATAGAATCAGAGACGCTTTTAATTGGTAACGATGCGTTCTAATTTAGACCTCAGAGTTAACAACGATTCTGCATTTTGATTTTTTATCGATCAGGCGAACTTTGTGCCATAAAGAAAGATCATCATTACTACTTAACGTAACTCCACTGTTACATGATAAAATATATTATGGATAATGTAGCGATGCCAAGTAGATTATTATTCAAAACCTAAAATGGCAGTGGTCGGTCATGTTGTGTCATGTAACTTGCAGAATCTTTTCCGTTAAGTTGTCCAGCGACAGTTATAATCATTCTTTGGCATCAGCCCTTATGTAGTCCATCGCTGGAACTTGGTCACGGATAGAAATGTAAGGATTTGCTGCAATTGCCACCACTTTGACGCTGCTGCTTACTGGCAAAATATAAATATACATAAATGAATCTAACACTTCATTTCTTATCGTGTGTGTTCATTTAGTCGACCATAGGAAATTCCATGAATATGTTCATAACCATCTCGCATATGCTGGATACAAAATATTTTTGAGTGTAGTACTTTACAAAAACTTTGCAGTAGTTAATTAAGTATGTAATACGGTTAAAATTGTTGCTCCGTTTGTGACGCGACTATTGTTTTCCTATATTACACGTTCCGATACCAGACGACTAATTCAATTTAGTTTTGACGTTGGAAATATGTGGTTCTATGGAACGCCTTTCTGTAACTTTGCTCTAAGTACGTGAATAATTTGTGCGTTAAAATAAAATGAAATAAGGTTTTACACACTAGCTTAAACTTGTAATCGTTAATCAAATAAAGATAAACCTTGTTTCAGTGTGAGACTTCCAAGGTCACGTTCACGTTTCTTTTCCGCTAATACAGTCTGTTTCTGTGAGTTGAACACTGACGATGCTCGCTAGGTCTTTTATCGAAGTGCTGCGTTACGTTCTTTATGATGCTGGCGTACAGAGAGTGTTCAGAATGCACGCGAGACATGGACGCAAAGTACGACCGTATAAACAACCTTTTTTTATCTGTGTACAATGATGTCATTGACTTAGTAATTTAAAATGAAAACAAGGATGTTTTAAGCGTTTGTGAATATGCGATTTGTAGGAATTTATGTGTTGAATAAGTTCGGCAAGTGTTTGACATTTTCTCTTCCTGTTTGGAGCAGACGGAGAGGGAGACGGAGGAGAAGATGGCCGACATGCACGCCATGTCTGTCCTGAGTACTTACCACGACAATCTCTCCCAGGATTTGAACACCGACCGGTGAGTTGTCAAGTTAATTATTGTGTTGTCCTTTGTTTAACAATTAGTGTGTTTATTATTTGTCGCTATGGCATTATTAGTTATGCTAATTTGCACACACTAACGGGCTATTGATAAAAATCTGTTAATATGACTGACGTTTAGTACTTATCAAGTATTTTTGGTTTATAGTTGTTCGTGAGTGTTACCTAATACTTTTTATTTTTAAATTTTTTAAAGAAGTAACCATATGTTATAATTATTAGAAACGTTCTTTACTTTAAAAAAAAGCTTATGTTATAATTAGATGTCGTAAAATCATAATAAGGTTATCTCTTTCCAACTATATTTCAAACTATGTGTATGTGTTGATGTGCTAAGTGAATGTGTCATTTACCAGCATCATTGTGCCATTGAACTCTGTGTGGGATTTTGGAGTGAAGTCTTAGGTTTGTTTCTAATTTCAAAAACAAAGCGACATAGCAGAAGTTCATAGGATATGCAATAAAATATAAATTTATGTTATTGGTCTCATGAATTATATAATATATCGTCTTCAAAGTTAATTAATAGAATCAGGCGTTACTTTGCGGAAGTCCATTATATTAAAGTTGGTAAAAATGCGAAGTAATTTTTTTACCAACTTTAATAGCAAACAATAATAATAACAGTAATAATTATGAACACTTTGAAAAATCAACTTAAAGAAATAAATAATTATAGAGGCATTTCTATTTTGAACACCGCGGCTAAAATCCTTGAACGAGTAGTATATAACGTAATTTACTCCACGCTTTCACGTGCCTTCCCTGAGCAGCAACATGGTTTTTTACAAAGGCGATCCACCACTACGAACCTGGCAAGTTTTTCTTCTTTTGTCCTTGAAAATATGGATCAAGGTGGGCAGGTTGATGTGATCTACACTGATTTTGAAAAAGCTTTCGATCGTGTGGATCACATGATCCTGCTCAACAAATTACAAATATTAGGGATTCACGGTGACTTGCTCCGATGGACTGAATCATATCTCACAAACCGCTCACAAGCAGTCGTGATAGGTGGTTTCCGTTCGAGCTACATAAACATACCTACAGGTGTTCCTCAGGGCTCTCACTTAGGTCCACTTTTTTACAATGCCTACCTATATGACATTGGTTCGTGCATTATACACACAAATTACCTCATGTATGCAGATGATAAGAAGATTTTTTGTAAAATTAACACCATACATGACTGCCTATTGATACAAAAAGACCTGGACCGTTTATTTGAATATTACAAAATAAATAATATAACTGTCAATGCAAGCAAGTGCGAATGTATTAGTTTTACACGGAAATCTAAGCCAATTCTAAATAAATATCACTTTGACGGATTAGAAATCAGCCGAAAAGTAAGTGTTAGGGATTTAGGCGTAATTTTTGATCATAAAATGATACTATCCGAACACATTGATTACGTTATCAGTAAAGCCTATAAAAATCTTGGTTTTGTTCTTCGCATCTGTAAACCATTCTCGAATATTAATACAATTAAAATGGTTTATTTTGCATATGTCAGAAGTGTTTTGGAATATGCTAGTTCAATATGGTCTCCACAGTACAATGTCTACAAAAGCCGCCTTGAGCGTATTCAAAAAATATTTGTTAATCACCTTAACTTTCGCTGTCGGAATAAAATCGATACTTACACAGACAGTTGCACTGAGCACGATCTCTTATCTCTGGAACACAGGCGCATTTTGCTTGACATGGCTTTGTTATATGATATAATAAACAGTAATATTGACTGTCCATATCTTGTCTCAAAAATCACCTTTCGTACTCCAAAATTCCGTACCCGCAATACTACATTGTTACAGACTCCCTGGCATCATTCAAACTACTCTCGAAACACTGTTCTTTCGCGGCTTGCTCGTACATATAATGAACAATTTGGACACATTGACCTCTTTGCGAAATCTAAACTTACGTTTAAAGATTACATCAAGAAAACTATTACGAAATAGAGCAGTTGAAGTTAAATTCACATACATTCATATATTCTCTCATCTATTTCTTCTATATGTATTTTTGAGGCTACTAATATAAATATAAGTACTTAAGTTATTTTATTTAATATATATTATAATTAATTATTTGTATTATGTTTATATATTTAAACATTTAATATGTATATATACATAAGTAAATATATATGTATGTATATATATATATATATATATATTTATATATATATATATAAAGGTAATCTAATATATCATTCTACCTGACTATCTCTCCTGATCTGTAAACTTATGACCACCTTCATTACATTGAATTACTTATAATTTTGCTTATAATTTATCTATTAGATTGTTCTTTTTCCTTTTCTTCTAACAACAATACACCTACCATCAAACAATATAAGGGAAACCTGTTATTGGCCATACTTTTAGTTTGTTACATTAATGTTAATATTTTCTATATACGCTGTTGGTTTTCTAAATAAATAAATAAATAAATAAATAAATAAAACTAAACACTACCAATTACTAAAATCGACTAAAATATTTACTATAATATCAACTGTCAAAATGGCGTCGATAAAGCAGCGCCCTTTTGACCCTTCATTATTTGAATGACTGATGAAGACATATCGTATCACAGAGCCATCTATGCAAACAAGGCTGTAGTTTTTGAGTTATAAGAAAGTGACCATATTAACCGGATGACCATATTACCTTCACGTACTATAGGACTTATTTTCTGCCTAGGAGTACGTATGGGTAGGGAACATCCTCATACCTATTTTGGCCGTCATATAGTTGTGCTTGCACTGCTATATTGCGGTCTGAAGGTTAAACAGAGCCAGTGCAATTACAGGCTGTGACCTGTGAGGCATTCCATCTTAGTTCTTGGCTATTTGTTTAAAGTTGCTTGCAGGTGCGCATGGGCTGCAGTAACCACTTAACATCAGTCCAACTATAAGTTCGTTAGTCAGTTAAAAAAAACCCAGCCAAATTCATTGTTATTTGCGGTCTAATGACGTTTCTTTACTAAAGCCGGAAAAACCTATAGATATTTTATGAAATTTAGAAGCTGGCCGGATTTTCATGCCGGACATGCAATCATGCCTCTTTCCCGTAGGGGTAGGCAGAGACCACTTCTTTCCACATGCTACGATCCTTACATACTTGTTTCGCTTCGTCCACTTTCATTATTCCCTTCATACATGCTCTTCGGTTTAGGGTACTCAGAAACCTGGCCTTTTATTTCGTTTATTATAGCAATAAATATAGAGAGGAGAAATGCAAATTGATGGATGCACTTGACTCGGGCTTTGCGGCATTCCTTTGGGGAGGCCTATGTTCAGTAGTGGACTTCTGGAATTTTTTTCAAATTTATTCTTAGAAAGAGTGTTACATCATTTACATTTCAAACTTAGCCAAACTGTAAGCCAGCTTGTCGGCAAAATAATAGGCTGTAATGATGATGATGATGACGATAAGAATGAAAAAGTAGGTAAGTATGTGAAGAAGTTTTTTATCCAAGACCGTGTGATATGTAACCGTCCGTTTCCTGAAAGGACTCCCACCAATACCACAATTATTGGTGTAGGAATGTTTTTTACGCAGTACAGCCATGCTGCAGCTATATTATGGCTGTAACACGAATGGGTCGGCTCGACCGGGGTAGGACCACGCTCTCGCAGAATACCAGTGTAAAATAGCAGCTTTATGCCGCCGTGTTCCGTATGGTGAGTGTAGAGAACCGGCAACCCTTTTTACTGGATACGAGGCATTCCATCTTAGTCCTCACGGATGACAACGCATATGCATTTTGATTCTTAATCGAATATAGCTGTAGATGTCTATGGACTGCAGCATCAACTTACCATCAGGTGAACTGTGTGCTCGTTCGTCTATAAAAAATTCTATAAAAAAGTATTTTTTGAATAATTAAAATAAAACAAAAATATTATATTCATACTAGCTCGCCAGGCAGACTTTGTTCTGCCCTTTCCAACGACCCTTCCTTTAAAAATCCTTAAAATCGCAATAAAAAATTTTGAAGGTCATTTATCGGGATAAAGACTATCCTATCTCTCAAGCTGGACCAAAATGCACACAGTGTGCAAAATTTCATTGAAATCAGTTCAGTAGCTTAGGAGTCCATCGCGGACAAAGAACGTGATACGTAATTTTTATATATAAATGTAACTTGTTTCTCGGAAACCACTCTTATGATTTTGATAACATTTTGTATTTCTATAATGGCTTAGTTTACAAGGTATTCTAGATAGGTGTAATTCCTGAGAAAATTATATATTTTTGTAACGGGTTACACATAGATTAATGATAAGTCATCGCGCATTAATGATAAATCATCGCGCGCTCTGACTAGATACCGCGCTCTGACTAGATACCGCGCTCCCTGCAAGTAACAGCTCCGTGAGTGCGGCATTTTAATATTATAGTGTGTATAAGACAATTTGCATGATGCTAGTGTGTGTGAAAAATTGTATATGCCAGCAGCTTAATTATTACCCGATTAATGGGAAAATTTATTTTATGCTATGGCTTAGTAGTTAAGTTCATAGTTATGAACGTATTCCGGAAATACTTAAAAATGAATAGTTTATTAATAACGAATGTATCAATATATTTGTGTATATTATGTATAGGTTTTTCTTCTGAATAAATGACATATAAATGATAAGGCCTCCTTTTTATCAGTTTAATTTTTTTATTTACATGTCTAACTAATATTCACAAATTATTTAAAAAAATAGTTATATATATGCTGTAATCAAAATAGGGCTTTCTATTCTACGCGTCAATATGAACAACTTTTACTATAGATCTATCTTCCTAATCGCAAGAAAAATCAGGTCTTCCATACATTTTGAGCAAACTTGTACGAAATTTTGTATGGAATAACTGACTTTGAGATATTTTTTATAGGATCAGGGTGACAAACGAGCACTCAGTCCACCTGATTGTAAGTGGTTGCTGTGGCCCATAGACAACATCTATCCTC